AAAATCTCGATTTACAAGCTGTTCATGGTGTCACAGCCGCAGAAAACCCGGGGCAAATTCCAGAAAGCAGATACGAATGATTTAGATGTTGGACCGAACAATCAGCGCGTAGAATTATGAAATACATTTCTTGCGCTATGGGAGTGAGTTCGCAAGTTCCAGAAAAATTCAAAAACAATGGGATCAGGCGAGAAGGCTTGTTCCCGCGATGATATGTGACCGCATACACAAATTCTTTCCACGTAAAAGCGGCTTTGGGGCAACGAAGCTATTATCTGACGGTTAAGCAGCGCGATCGTAAATCACAGCATAAGCGAGATCAAATAATACCGCTAAATAACGTTTCTATTCGATTCGTGCCTGCGATCATTCATTGCCTTGCACATTACACGGTATTGTTCTTAACCAATTCTGGAATGCGTATTTCACTATTAAAATAGTACTGACCTATAATAACTATTCCATCTTCAACCTTTAAGTGTTTTATTTCATTTTGAAAGTGTACATTTGTGTGGTTAATTATTTTTTGACAATGGCGAGTTATATTAAAAAAAAATTATAACAAAATGACAAGATTTACACTTTGTTTGTTATGTATTGTATATATTATATTATATTATGGTAGGTCAAACTTTACTTCGGGACACTAAATTTTTGTTTAAACTCTTTCATTACATATCGATAATAATCGATGAATAAAGATTAAATTATGTTTCATGTATAGAAATTAATCGGTTTACAAGTTATGTATATATATATTGTAGTATCTAGAATATTTATTGTAGGATGAATGGTTGTGCGTGCGTAAGGGCGACCAGGTCGTATTGTGACGGACCGGCGCCGGGGTGTTTGGAAAATAGTGTGACTGCGTGTAGAAAATCTCGAGTGGCTGAAAGAATACGAGGAAGAGTGTCTGGAACTGAGCGACTGGACCGTGAGGAAAGCGTGTACGTGACTGCGTGAATTTTGACTATGGACGAAAGATGCGAGTGAGAAGGGTGCAAGGGTGAGAAAGACAGAACGAATGGGGGTGTGTGTTAAAAACGAGTGGGAATGCGTGCGAGAAGGACATTTTGGTGAGAGACAGCGGAGAAGAACATTTTTGTGCGTGATAGAGAGTCCTGTGTTGGCCTTAATAAAAATGTGATTTATACAGGTGAAAAAGTATTTTTAAACATGAAAGTCTAATTAAACATGTTATGTAGTCTTCAACAGTAATGAATAGTTATAAATATGTGTTTTTCAAATGATCAAATATTGAATTAAATATTAGTTCTTAAAAGTTATTATTTTGTGTCCTTAAGATTGTATTGACACAACCTTTTACATAATATAAAAAGCTATGCAACACTCTAAGTTAAATCCTCGTTTCGTCAAAAATATTGTAAACGGTAAAATTAATATAGTGTGTTATAATTATTATAGACAAATTAAAATATTCTCCTCTTCCAGTTTTTCTGTGTATTTATCGTTAAAGAAGAAAACGTTGGTTAGTAACTTCGTGATCACACTGTATATATCCCATGTGATTCGTATAACTGAATTTTCTATAATGCTGAGCGCATCCCCCATGCTGTGCGGGAATCGGCTGTGTATGCAAAATATGTACCAGAAATATATAGAAAATAGGTATGCATGCCTTGGAAACATTAATCGTATTATTATCTTTCTGTTATAAATTACAATATACTCTAACAGTCATTTCTGTGTTATCGGTTGTAAATTATTGCCATTTATCTGTTGGAATTAACTTATATGCTGAAAAGTGTGTATTTTATGGTATACAAATTTATAAGCAACCTCACGATCCTTCAACATGCGTTTTAAATTATGACTGATTATTAATCATTTCGGAAACTATATTGAAATTGATATTACTTTCGTATCGTCAGTTTAGAATTTATCTTTATTCTGATATTCTGCGTTTATATTAGACATTAATTTCTATTATTTATAATAGATTGTTAATACAGTTGCAATATAAAATATGTACGAACTATTTAGCATTAAAAATATGCAAAATAAGAAATATAATTTTACGATTTTCTAATGACAAAACAAATTTCGGTCTAGGTCCCACTGCTTCTGTTGTTTTAAAAAAATAAGCGTAAATTACGTATCTTACATCTAATATTATTTTGCCAGAAAATGCAATTTCGTTCAAGTTTAGCCTCGAAAGAAATTTAAATCTCTTAATAGTAGAACCGTTAAATGGATTAAAGCGACCTATCTTATATTTCTTCTCGTGTTAATAAACCGATGCTTCTTATTTGGAACACACGACTCAGAAGTGAAACAATTCATCGTTTTAAAAAACTCCCTTAAAATCTCGAATTCTATGACCCTTCATTATTTACATTAAACAAAAGAGAAGATATATAGATTCAGAATATAGAAATATCTTCCGTAATTTCTAAGTTTTAAGTTAAGTACTTGTTTTTTAAACTCTTAAACGTGACTATCGTTATAACACACAATTAAGCCTATTCACATTCAAATCGATACAAGCCAGCACAGGTAGTACTGATTATCATTGTATGATAAATTACAAGTGTGTAGATTAAAAAGAAGGAAATGATTTACTTTTGTCTGTGTTTGGAATTTAGCTTCCAAGATAATTGAATTGGAATGTCCCCTTAATGAGATTAAATGGTGGCTATGAAACTGAAATGAAGTGTAAACTAAAAGAAGTATTTATTCTGTAGAGATATTTATTTATAAATCTTGACTATCGAAGTAAGAAATAAAAATCCCGGTGCATTAAATTCATCGATGCTCCACTGTTCCACTATTCGTTTCCGCGAGTATGTGGCCGCGTCGGACCAGGGGCTGCAGGGTTCTCGGTAGCAATATCACATAAATATACGGTACTGTACCTTCGACTCTATTTTATTCGTTGCTTTCACAGCAAGACTATCGAACTAACGATTAAAAAAAGTTTTTCGTGGCATGGAAACATTATTTCATCGGTCCCACGGTTTTCACGATTGGTTGGCCAGTATTTCTCCTATAGCCTGTTACAATGAAAATATTCAACTTTAAGGCTTAATTAAATCTTTTTAATACGACAATATATTTTATCATTTGTGATACTTGTCACACAAGATTACCGATGTACATAAAACGTCGTTGGCAATTGTGGAATGAAAACTTCTTCACGTGCGTGGTACGTCTTTCCAGCGCAAGAGGCTAATAGTACTTGTACTAGATCTACACTGTGATTTACGATAAAAGTCGTGAATGTGAACTATTCGTAAAGTATGACCGTCAGCGATATTATGCAATGTGTAGCGAATTGGCCAACGAACAGCGTATAGTATTCACCCTGGAGCGGTACATCAAAGGAACTGTTCGCAAACCCTAACATGTTTGAACGCGTTGGTAACACGTTTTAACACTTTAAGTGTCCATCTTCGAGAAATTTGTCTGGTTTACATACCCGAATAAGCAGCATTTCTTGTTTCTACATTCGTTAAATGCAATAATGAAACTTCGTTCCTTAACCTTCACCTGCCCTTAAAAAAGTCACATAAAAAATTAATCTCGATTGTGGTCCAAAAAGACCCTTTTTTTCTTCCTGGACAACCTTTCCATAGGCATCCCCTGCTCGTTCAAGGAACAGGGGATATATTGGATTCTCACTCACTAAAGCTCCAAGAATGTTCCAACCTTTCTTTCTGAACATTTCTTTCTGAAGTTTTTTTTTCAAAAAGCCCAAAAAATGAGCAAATTTCCAAAGAACTTTTTTCCTAAATATATCAACCCTTTTTCGATTTCTGTTTAGTACTATATTATATGAATGAATTATGTCACTTCGTTGCATTATTATTATCTTTAATTAATTATTTTCCTACTGTAATACATCTAACGTTACTATGTAGTAGGATATACGCGTTAATAGACGCAGTATCAACTAATTTGTAAACACTACTGTTCCTTTTGCAATGGCATTCGCTTATTACTATGTTCACAGCGGATTGGAAGTGACAGGGATCATTTTTCATGTAAGAACAACACGTTCTCAATTGAACCAGAATTTCGAAAACATCCTGTGTGACGTAAATTTTTTCAAGCAAAAAGTAAGACACTCTGTGGGTGAATGTCCGGATTGCAAATTTTAATGTTGCACAAAAATGCATGTAGATATTAGCATTTAATAGCTGAGGTATAACGGTAATAAGATAAAATTGGAATCGATTCATTTAATGCGAGTTTTGCGTGACACGGAGAATGAAAGGGGTTCGAATCGAAACGGCAATGCTATTTGCCGATTGCTCATACGTGAAATGGAGTTTAAATTGCGGGGCTCGCGGAATCTTAGTATTACATTATGCCCGTAAACGGCAATTTAAAAAATGTTCCATTAGACTAATACCGATTCAATCACAAAACATGATTTCATAACGTTCAGATTTCTCAATATATTTGCATTGAAAATTAAGGGTTTGCGCCTTGTATTATCTCCGCGCCAGTCAAATCTTAACGCAACACTTTTCGTGCACGAATCAATTGAAAAACGTACGTATGCGAAGAAATTACTTTCCGCACACTTTAAATTTACTACAGTATCAGCACATTCGCGACCGGCAAATTTGTCGCTTTTGTGATGCTCATTGTCGGTGAAAATGAAGAAAATATAACTAATTGCCCCATTTTTCTAGTCTCATCTAAATTTTACTGTAAGTAGCAAAACGGAATTCTTTTTTTACCGTAACGAGTGTACTCCTCATAAAACAAGAAATTTGCTAACTTTCCATGATGAATATACACGACGCAAACGTTTAAAAGGTGAAGTTTAAGAAAATCAGATCTGCGAGCAATAAAATGCAAATTCATCGTATCAGTGAATCACTATATAAAGGTATTACATGATACTATTAATTTATGCTTTATTCTGCAAAGGGTTCCAAACGTTTAACAAAATCTAAGATTAATTTAACATTGGCTTTTACCACTGATACGATTACGATTAAAATTGATAAATTTTTCTGCGTACTCACCTCGTACTCGTATCACAATCCGACACGTACTGGTGTAATTCGATACAGGTGACCAAGCTGTGAAGGTGACAATCGTTGTGCCCGCTGGCAAATCTGCTTGTAACTGTTTAGCCCAAGATGGCGATGCATCTACGTATCTGTAAACAAAAAGAAAGCAAAACGTATAAGCTATTTATTCATTACAGTTACAAACAAATTGAAAATGTAAGATCAAAAACAGCATACATTATCTTTCAGATTAAATAATTTAATTCATAACAAATTTTCATTAAATCAATTTCAATTAAATTTCTGAAAAAATTATGTATGTTGTTTCTGATATCGCTGAATTGTTGTAAACGTGATAGCTACAGAGGACAGAAAAGAAATATGTACATACAGGTGTATTAAACATGAAAAAAATTAAACATTAGGAAGTAGGATAAAATATACTTAAAAATATTTTTAACGATACGTTATCAAATGTTAGGTAAAAATTATAATATTAATGAGTGACATAACAAAGTATTAAACTTATACTTTTATTACTATAAACTGATTGTGGAGGTTTATTCGACGTTTTGTTTTTCAGGTTGAAAAACAATTGTATCGGTTTTGGCTTCTGAAACTAAATTATGTCTAACCGTTCCTTTTGATTCTAATTAATGTCAATTAATTAATGCTCGGTTCTGCTGTGCCATAACAGATATAGAATCGAAAATAACAGTTTTAAGAACGACATAATAAACAACATAATATATGTGGATTATAGTAATACTTACAACTGATCTATTAGAAATTACAGTACACTGTGTGCAAAATTTAGAGGTCGTTTAATTTTCGGTGAAAATTTGTCCATGTTTTAACTTTTATAACTCCCTGAAGAAAAGTATGCAACATTCTAGTTGGACTCGTTTTAAATAATAAAACTTTCATTTCCGCAATGCCGTGTTTGTTTCGTTGTAAAATGTTTGTACCTCACCTAACGGGTGGGAAAATAAACATACCTATTCGTTTCCAAAATTCCACAAATCTGAGCGTCTCTACGGCCATAAAAAAGTTTTTCACACGCGTATGTGAATTTAGTCAGAATATTGTTGAACAATTTTGTTTTACGAAGATACAATGATTCGAACATCGACAATTTTTCTTCAAGGACTTAGTAATCTCCTAACTTTGCACGCGAATGTTTTAGAAAGTATGAGTGTTATTAAAGTCACTATTTCTTCAAACTATAGTTTGTTGAATCTGTTAGTTCTGCTACAAGTGTTAAATATATACAATTATACGCGATGAAAGTGACAGTAAAGATTGCCATGGAGTCCTTGCTCAGATCAGTATTAACTTCTTTTATTCTGACAATGTATCTACAGAAACAAATACCTACTTATATTTCTATCAATGTTTTATTTAAACAAAGACTATCATTATCATTGTATTTCTTTCATTATTAAATAAAATATTTTCTATGTCTGTACCCATAATTGTCAAAACTAAACCATGCAGTTCACGATTCAAGCATGAAGTTACTTAGAGAAATTATAATTACACTGTTAAGTAATGTCCCAAATATTTTTGGAACCGATTTCAGAAACATTGATAAACTGTTTGAGTATGAAGCATGAATTTAAATTGTAAGCGTAAGTGTAAAGATTTTCTTCTTGCTCGCGTAGGATGATCATCTTTATAACTTGATCAATAAATACTTTTAGGAAAACACTTAAACGATCACACATACGCACAAAAATATTTTCGAAAAGTTTCGACCGGATGTACGTGATGCTTAAAAAATTAACATGTAAATCAGCAGCAAATTTGCAATCCACATTTCTAATGTGTCGCGAGTCGGGTATGATTTCTGTTTCAAGGTTCGCGTTAAAGCCAGCGCGAATAAATAGAGTCGGGTGCACAAATACCGGAGCAAAGACGCGCATACACTCTTAGAAGCAACCCCCTAAGCTCGTTTGGAATTCTCATTGTGCGACAGGCTTGCCAGGCTGTCCTGGTTGCGACGGAAGATAAACCATTCCATTGTGGCAACGTGTTGCTGGAGTGGGAGCCGCGAAAAGAAATTAATTTCGTCTCTTGAAATGTCGCGCAGGATTTTACTGTGAACGGTAAACGCGCATTGATAGCAAAATTAATGTCTTAATTAATTTCATCCGAACAAGCTGCCGCTGAAGTCGTTACCATGAAAGAGTGAAGACGAGCCGCCTGATTTTTCTTAGTTTAATCTCAATTGCTTTTGAGTTACTTGATTACAACAACTGTTCCCCTTCTTTCCGACAGTTTTCTATTTCGAGTTATTTTGTATCGCGTGAACCTTAATTTCCTGCAGTTCCACTAGAGCACAGGTTTTACCGGTACTTTCAAAAATTTAATCTCGTCGCGATATACCGACCCGTCTCAAATTCTTGAAAGAACTAACTTTGGAATATTTAATTTCTGATAGAAATTTCTTGAATATTCTTAATAACCTTCGTTGCTAATGCGGTTACAATTCGTAAATAAAGGAAGAAAATGATCGTTCTTGAAATAAGTGCAATGGTAAATTTATCATTATTTAAAAAACCTAATTTTCGTTTCTTTTTTATACCTTCTATACACTAACATACCTACTAAAACTCTATTTAGTATCTACTATTGTAGATAAGTTGCTTTACTTTCCTACCCTGTTCACAAGAATGAGAATTTGCTTAACCCCTTGACCTATGATTTCTTCCTCAACTCTGTTCGATACGGTTACATTGTCATTAATAATTTACTGAGAAAAGAGAAAAATTTTAAGCATATGTTATGCCTATATTTCCTTTTAAGTATAATAGTTGATTACATAGGAATACTATTTACTTTGAATTCGAATGTACTGAGTAATACATATATTTGTTGAATCATGCTGGAAACCTTCACTACGAGTCTCACTCGTTGTAGGGCAAGGGGTTAAAAATCTAAGCTTATCATAGCAATAGGAAACGGTGTTTCAATAAATACCTCCACCAGTTCATGTTGGACTTTGGTTGCGGAAATGAGACGCGTATCGTGTTTTGCCTGTCAGGTAGCTCCACATCTATGTCTCGGGGGCACCTCACGAACGGCCGCGGTGTGTCTGAAGCAACAGAGTCTATTATTAAACACGTGGTTTTCCCAGAAATGTCTGCTGGAATTATATAGCTTCAGAATTAATAGAGGACTGGACATATCGTAACATCGACGAAGTGTATCCTTATATCATACTGATATTATCACATTCCTCGCAACTGTCCCCATTCTAATAATCAAATTATCGACTACTCGCCAAATTGCTGCAGGGCTTAATTACTTTAGCGTTCCTTTTCGCTTCTACTCCGTAACTGTCCTTATATAGCTTATACAGATACCTTCTTATAATGGACATAATCGTTTACCAGCCCGCATAACTGTTTACCCCAGTTAAAGGGTTACATAACCTAGTTAGGAAGTAAAATAAATTTTGGGAAAACATGTTCTTTTCGAATATAAGAACTTCAAACTATCTTCATTTAAAAAATTTCTAAAAGAGATAACTTCATACACGTATAAAAATTAAATTATATTTAAATAGGTATAAACAGTATTCGAAAGTTTAAACGCGCTTTTTACCCTTCGACCTTCGTTATATAGGACTGTGTAAACATTTTAAAACCCGGAAACGCTAATTCCGTTTAGAAAATAATTTTCTTCAAAACACTAAATCATAAAGATTACTCTTTCTGCCGTAGATTTTAAGTTTGAAAATAGTTGTTTCATTTCCAGTATTCCATTGAAATTCGTATCATACAGGTGATCTTTCCATAGAGTAATTAATGTTCATTTTCTTTTACGCTTAATTTCTTACAATTAAAGTAGTAATTAAGAATCAAAACTTTGTAGAAGCGTTCTTTACATCACATTCTATCTTTTCTCCGAAAGAGACAATTGAAAAATTTTCAACGAAGGTCCTTCTTTCGGATACCCATTCGATTACACATTCAATAAAACATGGGTAAATACACTGTGCACGTAGAAAGAAGAACGTTCGAAATACAGAGTAAAAATGAAAATGTTCGCTGCGACTTGTTGTTCTTTCAAAAAAACCGGTGAACGTTGCGGCAAAGAAAAGTAGTGTATCGAGGGTAAAAAGTGATGCAATTGAAGACAGCGGGGAAGAACGAGGGAAGCCGAGAAATGAAATGTAAAAAACGAAAACGTACCCCTGCAAGCTCGTTAGGGGATGGCGTTAACGTATAGTGTCGTTAGCAACCGGCCTTTACGCTGGAACTTCCTGTTATTAAAAGCTGTTTAGAGTGGCCGCGTGACTAATTAAATGCGCCAGAGGATTTCCGTTGGTAAACAATTGTCCGCGGCTATCGTTCTTTTTTCCAATATTTCCAACAACCATCTGCTTACCTACTACTCGATTAACATGTATTCTGTATACTATGCCAAATGGAAGTCAGCTGTAATTTACTTCTGAACTGTGACGTCATCCTCGAACAAATGTTTGGAAAAGACTATCACGTTCATTTGGACGAATTGAGCAGAAAATCTTGTTGTGATTAAAAACAAGAAAGTTTATATTATAATCGAGATAGTCGTGTCATATAAATATAATTCATTCATAAATAATTCATTCAATTAAACGATGTGTAATTCAAGACGTTTCTATATTATAAATAATATTACCTACAGCAAAAACATTCGACAAGACAAACGTTCAATAACAATAATGCAATTCAATTCAATAATTCAATATTATATCTTTTGTCATTTCGTGCATTCTGCTCCGTGAAGTCGCGTGGCATTCAACGTGTTAAGAATAGAATTGGCAATGACAACCATCTATGGACTCGACTGAATAAAACGATGATCCATTAAAAAGAAAAACGGATCTCAATCTCCACGACAATATTTACAAAACAAGTTAATGTAGTGTCTCATTCCATCCGACCTATTGTACTGAAAAGACATTGTGTTTATTTATTGTCTTAGCTAAATAAAAAACTGATTCATTACTCCATTACAGAACCAATCAAATGACTGGTTACAAAAGAAAGGTAAGAAAGTTAGATAATAAATTTTTCTCAATGGAAACAAACAACAGAACGGACAAAAATTGAAAAAGTAATTAACAAGGTCGCGATCACGCGTCACATATCTGTGATATAGCTATATATCACTATTGTTTCTTGGGTTATATCAAAACATCATGCATATATGTAGGATTGGGACGCCGTAACAGGCTTTAATATCAACAAAAGTTTATAAAATTTACAGTACGTTTGCCGAAGATTCCTTTAACACTAGAACTACAAAACATTCAATACGATTAATATGTTATCCCTATAACAATTGTAACAATAGATTATTTTCAATGTCCTCAGACATTCATTATAGTATTCAAGTGAAACTATCTATTTTCAAGATCATTTCGAATATTCAATTCTTTTAAGATATTAATAATTACAAAACAAAAAATCGAAATTAGTCATTTTAACTGATACGGTAATTCTAGTGTTAAACTTCGTTATACTATTCTCGCTTATACTCCCTTCGCTTATTCTGCCTTACTGTCTTCTATCATGCTGGCCTGCCGCTCAACTCGCATACACTTTTAACAATCATCCCCAATCATTCTTTCCTTCTCTTGACAAACATCCCTTCTCACTTGCACCCTGTCTCTTGCTAGCGTTCTCCTAGTCACGTATGCTCTTTTCAAATCACAACTCAGCGTTTTCTTCCTGTTCGCTTTTTTCCTGGTTACCATATGACATTTATGTAGAGTGTCTTGTTTGAATTTTCCTCTACGTTTAAAACGTTCCAGAATTATACGAATAACATATTACGTGAAACAATTGCAAGAAAGACACGACCCACCGTAAGAGTATTTCGAATTTTACCTTGGTCGCGAACATGTTAACTAGACAATATAGAAATTGATGTACAGACAGGTCAAACTGACACACTTCAGAATTTTTATGTCGCAAGCATTTAAGTTATGAAGCCATTTTTGTGAATGACTGTAAGTTAAATTTGTGTATTTACACCGATACAAAACTAGCACACCCTTCGAATCTGAAGAAACGTATTGTTCTAATTTTAATAAAAAGTTGGAAATAAGTCATTCTAATTGCTGGGTAGGTTTAGTGTTAAAGCTTGGGCTTACCGGAATGATAATGGGAATCGGTTGCGATCGATTCTCGGATACAAGTAGGTTCCTTGCCGTTCCATCGGTTACCGGCCATGCAATACCTCGTGTGCGGTCCTTCCAACCTAAAACCCCTTCGGCATCGTATATGACATCTGGCTCCGACAGGATAATCCACTGCCCCAGAAGAATGACCGGGACATCTGATCTAGAATAAGAACAGTCTCAGATTTCAAGAATATTACAGTAATCTGTAATATATTCTTTTTCATTGTGTATTATTTCTCTTGACTGTGTCACTTACAGGAGAAGGTATCGGACTCGGGAATTCAAAAAATTATGAAACTCTGCGTGTAAGTAGAGTATGTTAAGCCTAATACATTGTAACTTTTTTTCGTGCCGAATTTTACTTTGAAGAGGTAAAACCAACCCTTGAAAAAAATGCAAATTTCTTTTTCTCGTGGATTATGTTAAAACGGTAAGAAATGACGGGAAAGGTTCAAACGAAAAATACGTTGTTCTTTCGCGTCTATAAAATTGGAAAAGAAAATTTTTCGAAAAGTTCAAATTTACCAACATTTTGAATTTGAATGTTGAACAATGTATTTTTCGCTTATTTCTTTTACATATTTTGACTCTGAAAAATATATTATATAGGTCAAGTATTAGTAAATACAACTGTACAAAATCAACAATAAGTAGTGTCCAGATTTTCCGAAAGAAATTCTCAAAGTTCAAAAACTGTCGTTCCAAATGAAAATTTCCACTAAAGCGATAAAATAATGGGAAATAATGATAATGATTAGAAAAACAGAATTACGATAGTTTTAAAACAGCTTTTTCTAATGAACACTACAAAAAGCATTACGCTTCCGATGTTTCATGTATATTCTGAAATTTCGTGCGTTCTGTGCAATTGTGCACTTTCAAATTCCCCATAAATGTATACAGTTTGCGATTCACTTATAATCAGAGCGATCCATTGTCCGAAACTTCCTGTTCCGTGACAAATTTGGGTAAGTGTAGTTCTATTGTATATTTTGTGTAATAAATTGTTACGCACTTCAGCGTGGAGCGGCGGTTCCATAGCACGACATCTCAATTCCGGTGAAACGCAAGTTCTCTCGTCGGAAGCCAACACCAAGTCTTCGCTGCACGTACAGTAGTAACTTCCGACTGTGTTAATACATTCACCGTTGCAGTCCCCGTTACGGTTCAAGCACTCGTTTATATCCTGGCACTGGCTTCTGTTTCTGGAGAATAAAGGCCACGCATTTAAGATTTTCACGTTGATGTCTACGAACGTTTCAGTTATGAATTTATTTCATTTTCGTCGTGTTAATCCTTTTGCGAACCGTAAAATCAGATTTTTGTTAAATATAGACAAATAAAACCAGTACTTGTCATACTCAATATTAAAAATACTAACTTTTAAGGCAATCACAGTTATTTGACACTACAACAACCGCACCTGTCAAAGTAACCAGTTTCAGTTTCCTTGTTTCGCAATTATTGGTATCTTAAAAGCGTTAAATATCCAAAATAATTACAAAATTAGATAGTTTTACATACATACTACAATGAATATATGAAAACCGAAAGAAATTATATTCTTTCAATTTTCATAAGGATCACATATTAATCATGTTAAACATTTGGTAGTTCTAGTTGTTAAAATCAATTATTATCGGCATTTTCATAACATCAAATAAAAAGTATATCATTATAATAAAAAGTCATGAGATAGCCTTCGAATGGTATTGAATAATGGAAATAAAAAAATCTTTTTCTTTCTATGACATTAGACATATAAACATGACGATAAAAATCTTTGTAGATTTTTGCTTTATCAAATGGCTGTTATAACGCAACACCCTGTATAATACAAGGCCACATAGGTTAAACAAGAGACTTTAATCATTATTAATAGGGCTTAGGAACTAATTTTCATCGCCAAGGCTGTTGTGTGTTAATAATTTTAATCAAACCCCTTACCTTTGACTCAACACGAATCCACTACGGCAAGCACACATGTAAGATCCCATTGTATTTATGCAATCCTGTTCGCATCTGCCGTTGCTCCACTCGCATTCATTTATATCTAGTTACATAAAAGATATTATTATTCTGCGTTTAATGATGTTACTCGTATACCATTTTGGAGGCCGCATAAATTGCTCTATTCATTTTCTTTGTCATACTATTCATCGTTAAATCTTAACAGAACTGAGAATTGTTACTAAGCTGTCAATGTTTAACCAGTTAAGTGTGGAATTTAGTTTGAAAAATCTCTCCTTGTGCGCGCAATAAAATCAAATAATGAAGTGTATACTCGTTAAATGCAGGCGAAATGCACTTAAAATATATCCTAACGAAAAACTAAAGCGAAACGAAGAAAAATTACATGTTTGTCTCAAAAAATAAATACTCCATCGTTGAAAAAGTTAACACCATTAAGAGTATTAAGATGACGTGTATACTTGTCAAGCACAGTTAACTGGTTAAAACACACCAAAAGAAAGTTAATATACATGGATCTTTCTTTTACATCATTCCCTTCCCTTTGCGTAATGCTGTACACTTAAAACAAATATATTTAAAAAATATATTTCGATCAAAAGTATAATAAACTCAGATGGGCCGTTCTAAAGTGAGCCATTCCACACGCGGAACATGTGTGATATTGTTGATTTACGTTACTATGATGATATTAACATATATTTGGCGCATGGTATAACGTATTGTCGCTTTGACTATATCAAAATATCACATATATGACATTTCTATAAAATGCTTTGCCTGGTTTAAATTATATGAATAACATCGCGTGATACTAATTGCAAGAAAGCATGGTCCACGGTAAGGGTATATTAAATTTGACCGTGATTGCGAACGTGTTAAGCGCCAAGCCTATTTTGTTTCGCTTTCCTATCTGATATCGTCGACATGTTGGCGTCCAAAGTTGTACGTAAGATAGCCATAAGATTACATGTGTATCTTCATATGTTTTCTTTGTATGCACTTTATCACAATCTGTTACATTAATATTCATTTAGTGTCAGCTATCGTGTCGGTGTCGGTCACCAGTAACTGACGTAACTCGCGTAAAGAAATGATTAAAGTAATTAATTTAGTAATACAACCTGAAATATAAGTCAATTGATATCTCAACCCTTCGCGCTTCTATGTCGTGCGTGACTAGACATCAATTTTATTCATAAGTGTGATTAAATGCATTTCAAATAAAATATCATAATAACAGAGTTATCGAGGAAAAAATGCGGAAGAAATTCAGAGTGCAGAGGGGTAATAAATGCACACATAGTTTCTATAACAAAATTAAAAAAATGTTAATTTAGTTAATGTTAAAAGTTAATTTTTTTGCTCGGTACCTGAGTGATAATTCTCTACTATTAACTGCCAAAGAAATTATAAATACTACTCCTCTATTAGACATAGACAGTGCCAACTGTCTTTATTAAACATTATCATGTTCGAGAACCTATCAGTTGCGACACAAATATATTTCAGACCTTGTTGAAGTTCATCGTTGGTCCCTCGTGATCTATATAAAAGATTCCTAACGAGGGAGGAAATTCCCTCAAGGAGGAAATTTGCGGTTTCATCGTATAGAATACTTATTATCAGTCGATCAAGATATGTACATATCGCACAACTGCGGAAGAATATTCTACTAGTGGAAATAAGAGAAAAACGTTATTTGAAGTCCGGTTGGAAACGTTTTATTGCAAATGGGTTAAAATAATTCATGAATACTGTGGGTTCTTTTACTAACTTTATTTTATTCTTTGCGCGGAAGAACATCGTATCGCATTGAAGGTCGTACTCTAAGTGAAGGAAAAACTTGTAATGCATGGCAGAAAGTCTGTTGCCTAACTAATGTCAACGATATCTCTTCAGATGCTTATAGAGCAGCGGTAACTAATATGGAATACCTGATGTGAAAAGCTTGCCAAAACGAGATATATGCATTTTCTCAATGAGACCTGCATTAAAACACGAAGAAATTAATAAACATTCATACACTGATCGATAAAATATTAATAATTTCTCACACTAAATGTTAAATGAGTTTTGTCTAAAATTGTGTGTAAAATGTATAAGCTAAAATAGTGGATACGAACGTTATAAATTTTTTATTTCTCACCTTTCAACAATAAATTATTAGTTACTTTGTTTTCTTTTACTTCACACGGGAACGTCATACACGGTGATGTATTTTAAGAGGTGCTGTCAGATTTCACAACGCTTTCCAAAATTAGTTTTTTCTACGTGGTCTGTTGCCGCGTCAACATCGGAAGAGATATTGCAAGTAAAATCTGATGCTGCCCTATATAGAGATACGTATAATCACTGACATAGCATACTATGAGAAGTGCCGGATCCGTTACACATATAGAGACAGCTGACATTTCTACTTTAGTTAGAGATTGAAAAAAGAATTGTAGAAAAAAGAGTCGAACGATATATTATGACGGTCTATTGTTCTATACCCTCTCTTTTTACTATCTCTTGTTTGATTTATAAATAAGAGATGTTTCAAATACATTTATACAGAGAATCATTACAAAAATCTTTTACTTATTAATTAAACAACAGACAGCAATTGACTCTTCTCCAAATTAAATTCCACATACTCTTTCCAGTAAATCAATTCTTCCAGGTGTTATCTTTTCATTTCCATCATCTCTTCAATGTGGACGGTAGCAGATAAAAAAGAGCACATGCAAAATGTTTTTCTAGGAACTATCTTTCGTGTAAATTTCATTCAACGTAGTCCGCCCTGTTCCTGTCATACGAGAATAAGTAGAATTTGATCGGAGAAATTATAATGATAGTAATAATTTATAACACAAGAAAAACAACGGCTACGATAATGACGATAATAACGACGATAGTAAGTTCGTGGTAAATTTAAATGCGTAAATGTACATTGACTATGCAGGTGGGTTAATATTAAAATATAATAACGCGTAATAACAGAGGGTGATTCATTTTAATCTATAAATGCAATTATTTTTGAAATTATTTCCTATTTAGACGCTATCTAAAAATGCAATTTTTTCTGTTTTAATGGGTTTTAGGTGTAGATAGGTTAACACATTTTTACAACGAATTATCCGCTGCATCGATTAACGCAAAGAAAATTACATGATTATGCAGTAAGGCAACACTTAACTCTGTCTCGGTATAACGTGGTTTTTTTCTTAATTCTATATTGTTCGTTGATTCACTTCAGCGTGGTTTTTCAAACCGTACTCATATAATACACGTTACAAAGGGAAATGTTAGAAATATTTAAAAGCGCGCGCCGAACCAGAACATCTGTTATTTGTTTTACGAATAGATAATATTTTCATTTCATTTGATATCGTTTTTTCGTCTCTCTAAATTCGTTAAAATTTAATTTACTTGTTCCCAAAATATTTATTTCTCTTGATATACTATATTAAATAACCATTCAGTTATAACAATAAATAAAATTTATTTATTGAAATCCTTCGTTTCATCGGAAAATAAACAAAATTGTATATTTTTTATACACTGTTCTATTTTACGTATCCCCATTATTTACGTGTTAAAATAACCTTATTTAACGCCATTTTATTTAACGCTCGTCTTTTCTAGAATATATCCTTCACGTTGAAAGGAATTTTACTGTATTCGATTAACATTAGAATTACCAAGTATTTAATACGTTTAATATGTAATACCTATAAAAATTGTAACACTAGATTATTTTCAGTTTCTTCAGATATTTATTATAGTATTCAAATGAAACTGTTTACTTTAAAGGTCATTTCAGGTATTGAATGCTTTTGAGATAACAATAATTGCGAAACAAACAAATCGAAACCAGTCATTTTCACTGGTACGGTAGCTCTAGTGTTACTAGTAACCTTCGTATCTCTCACACACGTCCACATAGAGGCCAACTAAGTGTATCAAACTGCAACCCTCTCAAAACAGAATGAACTGCATTTCAGACATTTTTTAAACAACGAGTAGTTCCAGAGATAATTGCATTTGTAGATTAAAATCGTACATCCTCTGTACTTGAAGATAAAAGTTTGCTGTACGAGTATAAAAATGAGACTGTGTCTAGTAAAAAGTATTCTGTGTTTGATATACTTTTTTTCAGCCTGAAAATTCATTTAAAAATAACAGTAGAGGAGTTTTCTTAAATAATTTTGAAATACTGTACGATACACTGCTATCCTCTGCATTTCCCTCAAGTCACGTTTGGCAAGTATGCATTGGCCTCAGCGATGCTCATAAACTTGTCAATATATGAACGTGCAATATACGCTTCAGTGTATCTGCCTATACAATCACCGGTATTGAATTTAAATCCTATAGAATGAATACATAGACACGAAACATGGCGGATTGATTCATCTAGTTTCTATTAGACCGCTTTTAGATGCATTCGTTGATATTTGATTAATAAAGTATGAACTTTTTGGAAAACTTGACCTCTTTTTGTTGACATTATTCGCTTATTGCATTTTATATCTTCGCTGTAAATTAGTATTCTAATGATCGAATTATACATTTTACGTTTGATAAGGGCATCTATACATTGCATAATATATATATATATATATATATATATATATATATAAATTTTCAGAAATTTGAAAATCAGAAATTTTAATAAAATGTAGTACTTAATAAAATTTTATCCGATTCATTTAGATTTAATTTCTTTAATATGATTGTCAAACATTTCGTGATCTGCATATGGTAAACTCGAACATTTAAGCAATTACAATGAAAACATGAAATTACTTTTACAATAATTGTTACATTTTATTTTTAATGTAATAACGCTTTTTAGTATGAAAAGTTAATATTCCTACGATTCTCATTTTTAAATGTTAAATAATATATACAGAATTAATTTACATTACAAATTTGAATTGTAATTTGAGTGTACGTCTGCTGATCAGTGACAGTTGGACCTGATAGAAACATGACTGATATAAGAAAGATATTTTGCACGAACCTACACAAATCTCTCCATCCAACCGGTATCCAGCTTCACAATCGCATCGATAGCTGCCGTAAGTATTAATGCATTTAGTCTCCTGGCAGGGGCTACTTGCGCATTCATTAATGTCTGAAAACGTATATCATTTCTACAAATTTATTTCTTCAAATTTTTTCTTTGTTGGGGGTCTTTTACGACTCATTTAATTTAATAGATTAGTATTAATTCGATAGATTTTACAGATAATATTATTTTTTCTTTTAGATTAGATCATTCCTTTAAAACACTGTTGAACACGCCTTTCAAAAAAAATTATTGCGACAATAATACATTGAAACATTATCCTTTATTTCTATCGTTACTTTCATTGTTTCTTTCCAAAAATGAGAAAAATTTTTGTTTGTGTAATAGCTCGGGTGATAAAAATTCTACAATTTTTTTCTTTTAAAAATAAAAAGAAGTATATTCTATGAATGGGAATTTTTATAAATTTATACTTTATTCCTAAAAATAATATTAAGAAATGAAATGCAAATATATAGAATTTTAAAAAATATCATTTCTTCTGAACATTACTTAGACGTTTCAAATCACATTCGAAATAATTTTTTTAAATTTTACTTAGTCATTCCTGATAAGCTCTATAATCTAGCTCCAACACACGAAAACTTACCTATGCACGTAGAATTCTGCATCTCGAATCCTTCCTTGCACCTGCACTCAAAGGAGCCAACAGTATTCACACAGTCCTGCTCACAGCCATGATGCCCAATGCATTCGTCGATATCTGCACACTTCTTAGGATCAGTATTATCAATCTGAAACCCTTCTCTACAGCTGCAAACTGTCAAATTACTCTCCACTTTGCAAACTTGCTCGCAGCCACCATTATTACCTTCACAGGGATCGACAATACGACAAGAACTATTCTCTAATCGATACCCAACAGGACACTCACACTTGTGCGATCCTTGCTCATTGACACAAACATGGGAGCAACCGCCATTGTTCTCCTGACACTCGTCGATATCCAGACACGACTTTTTATCCTCCTTCAAGCGATATCCACCCGGACACTCACAGTGATAACTACCATCAACGTTAACACAAACATCTGAACAACCACCGTTTTCCATTTCACATTCATTGATGTCTTGACAAGTTTTGGAATCCACATTCAAATGAAACCCGTTCGTACAACGACAAACGAAACTGCCTTCTAAATTAACACAGATGTCCGAGCAGCCTCCATTTTCAGTTAAACACTCGTCTACATCGTTGCAAGTTTTCTCCGTCTCGTCCAAACGCAGCCCAACAGGACAACTACACTTAACACCACCTATCACGTTGAAACAGGCGTGCGAGCAGCCGCCATTGTTCGTTTGACACTCGTCTATGTCCACGCAGCTCTTGGAATCGTTAGCTACAACGTAACCCTCGGGACAAGTACATCTGAACGATCCTAAAACGTTAACGCATTCGTGGGAACACTCAGAGACACCGGTTTCACACTCATCTATATCGACGCAAGTCTTTTCGTCCTGCGATAGCTCGAATCCAGTAGGGCAGGAACAGAAGTGACCGCCAATAGTGTTGGTACACTGATGCGAGCAATCACCATTCTCTTCCAAACATTCATCGATGTCCAGGCAAGTGGACTTGTCGGAGTACAGGTAATGTCCTTCGTAGCAGGTGCACACATAACTTCCCAGTAGGTTCAAACAGTCGTGGCTGCAATTGTGCTGGGAGTTCAGACACTCGTTCAGATCGGTGCAGCTTTTTTTATCATCAGGCAAGAGGATGTAGCCTGCAGGACACTCGCAGTAGTAAGAACCATTAGTATTTTTACAAATGTGTGAACATCCTAGGTCCACATCATTTTCAAATTCCTCGCATTCATCAATGTCTTCGCACGTCTTTTGATCTTGTTTTAACCTGAACCCTAATGGACAGGAGCAATGAGTAGTGTCTTCTTCATAGCGACAGTGATGGGAACAGTTCCCATTGTTCTGTTTACAGCCATCAGTCAATTTACAAGTTTTATTATTGTTGCCAAGAACGTATCCTGATGGGCAAGAGCAACTGAATGATCCTAAAAGGTTCAAACAAGTGTGTGAACATCCTCCGTTATTATCTTCGCATTCGTCTACATCATCGCAGAACTCAGGCTCTAAAGGATTAATTTTGAATCCTTCGTTACATGCACACTGGAACCCGCCTGGAACATTTATACACTTGTGCGTACAGTTGTCTTTCACACTTAAACATTCATCGATATCGACACACGTGGCATTATCAACGGATAACTGGAATCCTGAAGGGCACTCACAAGTGATAGAGCCATCATTAAAGACGCAAATGTCCGAGCAGCCACCATTGTTTACAAGACACTTATTCTCATAGATGCAATCTTTTCTATCATCTGATATTGTCATTCCTGATGGACACGAACAGAACGTTTTTCCCTCTTCGTAATTGCAGTGGTGAGAACATCCGCCATTGCCCAGAAGACATTCATTTTTTTCTACACAAGTGGTACCATTTTCGGATAAGTTCATTTCAGGTGGACAAGTGCAGGACACTTTCCCATTGTGGTACTCGCATAAATGGGAACAGCCACCATTTTCGATGTAACACTTATCTTCCTCAACACAGGTAACGTTATCTGCTTCGAGTAGCATACCCGGTGGGCAGAAACAAGATATAGTGTCATTTTCATAGTGGCACAAGTGGGAACAGCCACCATTTTTAACGTAACACTTGTTTTCTTCGATACAGGTGACATTATCGTCGTCGAGAAGCATATCTGGCGGACAGAAACACGATACAGTGCCGTTTTCGTAATGGCACAAGTGAGAGCACCCGCCATTGTCGATCAGACATTCGTCAATTTCTACGCAAGTTTTCCCATCGTCCTCTAATAATTTGTAATTATCAGGACAGGCACATTCGAAGCTGCCTTCTGTGTTAGCGCAAAGATGGGAACAGCCGCCATTGTCTTCGATGCACTCGTTGATGTCTTCACAGGTCCTGCGATCCTCGGCTAGTCGATGGCCAATAGAACATTCGCACTCGAAACTGCCAACCGTATTCTTACAAGAATGGGAGCAATTTGACTTACTTTCCATATCTTTGCATTCATTTCTGTCCTCGCAAGTTTTGTTATCCTTAAACAGAACATATCCCATTGGACATTCACACCGGAAACCTTCTAATTCACTAACACACTCGTGAGAGCAATTGTGTATTCCCGTGCAAAAATCAATTTCTTCACATGTCTGACCATCAGAGTTTAATTTCATTCCTGCTGGACATTTACATTTGTATCCGCCAGGCATATCGATGCACAGATGACTGCAATTATTCCGTTGATCGCACAATTGTTTCTCAACACAAGTTTTATTGTCGTATTCAAGAATCAGATTCTCGGGACAGGAGCAACTATAACCCCCATGAAAATTTTCACATCGATGAGAACAATTGTGGGAACTGTCAGTACACTCGTTAATGTCTTGACAGGTTTCTCTGTCGTCGTTTAATTCGTACCCGGCTGGACACGTGCAGAAATAGCTGCCTTCGGTATTTACACAGCCTTCGGAACAGTTATTAATATCTTCCACACACTCGTCAATGTCTTCACAAGTTTTTTTATCTTCCTGTAATTCGAATCCTGAAGGACACTCGCACTGGTAAGATCCATTAATATTCACGCAGAAATGGCTACAGAAGTTCAACTCTTCAGCACATTTGTCTATATACTCGCAAGTCCTTTCGTCTCTTCCTAGTTGGAATCCTTCGGGACACCCGCAACGGATATCTTCCTCATTCTGTTCATAAGTATGGGAACAATTCAACTCACTGAATATTCTACAGTTCCTCGAATCCTCGAGAAGATTCCATCCTACAGGACAACTGCAATTATAGCCACCTACGACGTTCACACATTCGTGAGAACAATTGTGTTTGCGTCGACCATCCTGACACTCGTCTATATCGACACATACTCGTTCTTCCTTAGAAAATACGTATCCAGAAGGGCAAGAGCAGTCGTAGCTTCCTTCGAGATTTGTACAATTGTGCAGACAATCGTGGCGTCCATCAGCGCATTCATCGATATCTTCGCAGCTTCGATTATCCTTCGCTAATTGATATCCTTCGGGGCATTCGCAAGAATAAGAACCTTCCACATTTTTGCATAGGAATTGACAATTATTCGAATGTTCCTGACACTCGTCAATGTCCTCGCAAGTTGAATTATCTTGACCTAATTTGTATCCAGAATAACACTCGCACTGATACCTGTCTGAGCCATTGGGGACACATAAGTGAAGACAGCTGGAGTTTACACAAGGATCAGGAGACTCTACGATCGTGCATGTAATTCCATCTCCAGCTAGAATCCAGTTCGAAGGACAAGAGCAACGATACGAGCCAAACTCGTTAATGCAAATGTGCGAGCAGTCGTGGTCACCTATCAGACATTCGTCGATATCCTGGCAGTTACCATCTTCATCTTGCCGAAGTCCTTTTGCACACGAAACATCGTTGCACGTCAAACCATCCTCGAAGAGTTTCAAACCCTCAGGGCAAACACACTTGTAGCTTCCTGGAGTGTTGACGCACTCATGGGAGCAATCGTGTTCATCTTCAGCGCACTCGTCGAAATCTTTGCAAGTTTTGCCATCATCTTGGAGGATATAGCCATCGGGACAACTGCACTTGTAAGTATCGTGTATCCTGTCACAAATATGGGAGCAATTGGCGAAATTGCAAAGGTCGATGGCAACGCATAGTTTCTCATCCGACAGAGACATTCCTGTGGGACAGGTGCAGGTGTAGGATCCTAGTAGGTTCACGCACTCATGGCTACATTGGTGAGTTCCCTCCAAACACTCGTTAATGTCCACGCACGCTTTCAAATCGTTTCCTAGAACGAAACCGGTGGGACACGCACACCTGTAGCCTCCTTCCTCGTTCACGCATTCGTGGGAACAATTGTGTTCGCTTTTAACACACTCGTCTATATCTTTACAAGTGTAACTGTCTCCCGAGTGCTGGTATCCTTCGGGGCACGAACAATTGTAGCTCCCAGGGGTATTCAAACAAGCGTGAGAACACTTGTGTTCGTTGTTCAAACACTCATCCACATCGGAACACGTTTTCCCGTCATCGTGCAAGAAGAATCCATCTCGACAGTTGCATAGATAGCTACCATAGACGTTCGCGCACTCCTGTTCGCAATTGTGGGAATTTTCTGCGCATTCGTCGACATCCGAGCAAGTTACATTGTCGTCTTCGTAGATTTGGAGACCGCTTGGACAAAGGCATCGAAAGCTACCTTCTAAGTTGTCGCAAGAATGAGAGCACAACCCTAAAGCACACTCATCCACGTCTGAACAGGTAGTGCCATCCCCTAGGAGCTGATATCCCGGAGGACATATGCATCTAGGCCCTGTCTTTGACTCCTGACACTCGTGAGAGCAAGGTGTTATCAGTGTCTCGCATGTTCTCGTTTGAGCGCAACTGATGTTATCCGCTTTCAAACTGTGTCCCGGGGGACAGGTGCAGGCGTACGAACCTTCTGTGTTCGAGCAACCGTGAGAGCATGGCGGCGGTGTCTTCTTACACTCGTCAATGTCGTTGCAGGACACACCGTCCTCGTGAAGCTCGAACCCGGAATGACACGTGCAATAATAACCGCCGGGCTCGTTTATGCATTCGTGCTGGCAACCGTGGGGCTCGCCTTCGTCACCTTCGACACACTCGTCAATATCTAGAAAGTGCGACATAACAGGTTTCATGAATACACCTACTTGTTCAAAATTAACCCTCTGCACTCGAAAGCTTTTCACTGGAAATATTGAACGTTACTTGATAAGATGTAGATAATATTTTTTTAAACCGACTTAATGAGGAATCGCACATAAATTGAAGAGCGTAGACATTTTATTTCGATATTTCGTGTATTGATGCATTATACAAAATTTCATTTTCAATCGAAAGTTTCATTTTAAACATCAAACTTTATGATTTTGCTATATCACATCACATCTCGAGGGTAAAGGGTTAATATACTTATAATACCCTTGTTTAGAATCCTTTCAACCTCTTGTCATATGATCGCCAGTGAGACTCGAAGATTTATGAATTAATTTTTGAAAAGTCAGTGTTGTCCATTACGTATAGGTAAAATTAGAAAGTCTTATTATGGAAATGTAAGTAGACATTGAACGTTTTCTGGCAATGAACTTTATATTTTGTAACAACGAAAATATTTATGACAATGTGACCATAAATCATTCTTTTTTATTTTATATTTATTCTTTATTTTTACTTTATGTTAACTTTAAATGGAACTCTGTAGATAATTATATTTTTCTAGGGGTAAATTTTTATAGTATATTTTTCTTTGAATATGTTATAATTATTACAAAAGTTGCATCAATGTTTGATATTTATTATTGCTATATATGATTCACGTATATTACCAAAATATTAAGCATCCTTAATTTGTAAGAAGCATTAAAAGTAAAAATAATAATATATTAATTATTTTCATACCAATGCATTCGCCATTTTTGTCCTTCTTATAGCCCTCCTCGCACTTTCCTAATTCTGGTATTTCAGTGATGCCTCCCTCGTCGTAATCGTCATTGTCTTCGTCATCCTCAGCATCGTAATCTTCATCTTGAAGAACTTTCGTCATTTTCTGCGGCTTGCTGACACATTTATACGAGCCAATGGTATTCTCGCACTCGGTATTATTCGTACAAACCTTCGACGCGTTTTCACATTCATTCACATCTATCAAGGAAATAAATCAAAACCGTATTTAAGAGCAAACACTATGTATGTGCAACGAATAATATTTACTTTATTATAAACATGTTATAAAATAATTGCATCTAAAAATTAAAATATTTTTGTGAGTTTAGCCCGTTGTTCCCTGTTTATTTTTCACCCCTTGTCTTATGATTTCTTTCGCAACAGTGCTTGATAAAACATGAAAAGAATTTGATATTTATCTTATGTCTACGTTTACTTTAAAGGTTGAAGAGTGACGATAAACATGTAATATTTGATTTACATTAAAAGTAAAGAAATAACATTTAGATTCGTCGAATTTGTTTAAAATTTTCATCATAAGTCTGGCACGATATTATAGGAGGAGGTAACATCAAAAAGTCCAGATAAAAGTAAAATACTGTTTACTTAATGAAAAATTACCGAAACGCTGTAAACATAATCTTGTAATGAACTTCATTTCTCATGCAAAGTATCCAATTTATTGAGCAAACTTAATTTTAACTGTAATTTTTCAAAGGACGATAAACGAAGCAAGTGTATGTACCAGTACAAGAAAAAATTATAAAATAATGTTAAAGGCTCTGACACAGATGAATACTGTACAAAATTTCTGTTGTTTTATGTTTCAAGCAGTGTCAGACTTCCTGAATATTTTATAAATATTGTAACTCGAGAATACTAAATGAAATTACCTTTTACTATTTCTACTCATATGAAAGTTTTCTGTAAAACGTTCTGTGTATTTTTATATACGAAAGAACGTCACGTACATGTAATTACGTAATTTCTCTGCAGTAATCGACGCAAGTCATTCTATTAAAAAATGTCTTACTCTGTCTACACCGAAAACCCATCAAAACATAAAGAAAAGTAATTTTTTCATTTTCATCGATTTTCGTTGTAGATATGGTAATACTTTTTTGTAAAAATGGCCTGCTGCACCAATGGATAATTACAATTGAAAAACTAGTAGTAACTTTTATACTTCCTATACACGTGCATCTAGTAACAAGCTAAATGCATAAAATGATTGTACTCTCGAACCAGGAAAGTATGCAGTTAGGATATTTTCTAAACAACTGATGGTTCCAAAAATAATTGAATTTATAGATTAAAATTGGACCGGCTATGTATATTGTTTTTTCGACTGTTAACTTAACATACAGCATGCAATTATAAAACGAAGATGGATGTATGAATTCACTTAACACTCAGGCAACCGTCTGAAAAGGAACTATGTACAACTACAATCTTTTTCATTAACCTTAACTAAACTCATTCAACAGATTTGATTCAAAATTGCGTTTTACAGTAACAAGAAATGTATTTATTAAATTGCAAATACTCTCACTCCAAGACTTACTAAATAACAAAAAAAAAATAAACAATATAAGCGGCGATACGTTGCTAAGAGACAAATGAGTAATCTCCCCCTTCAATTGGCTAAGTGTTAATGTTGAAATGTGATGTAGCAATATACGTCCGTGTACATACAGCCTAAGACTTACCGTCACAGGTTTTCCAGTCATTTTTTAAATAAAAACCATCAGGGCAGAGGCAGAATGCACTCCCAAGCGTATTCAAACAAACATGAGAACATCCTCCGTTGTTCGTAGCACACTCGTCGATATCTTCGCAGGTGTGATTATCCACCGCCAATTTGTGACCGGGAATATCGGAACAGCTGCACTCGTAGCTTCCTTCGAGATTGATACAAGTGCCTTGGCACGGTCCGTGCCCATTATTCGAAAGGCACTCATTAACGTCTAAACGAAAACAACCAAGAAGTTGCAAATTGTTTCCGTGATTTGGTGCATTTATTCTTAAGTTATTTCTTCGAGCACCACCGATAGTATTAAATTATATTACATTGAATGTTTAAATCGTTGAATTGTACTGTTAAGAACGTGTATTTTCTGATAATTCTCTTTTAGCTCACGCACTATATAAAAAGAAAGGGAACGTTTCAATTCTTAGATGAACTTTCTTCTTACTTACTATAAAGGCATAATCGAATACAAAAATCGACAAGTCCTTGTACCGCGATAAGCTTGATAGCGAACCGTTCGATAATTTACAGGGAAAATATTATATCTCAAGTTTCAACCCTTAACCCTTTGCACTCCAATTTCCTTTAGCAGTTTTTTTCGCAGTTTTATAGTTAGTTCGCAGAATGCAGTGTAAACAATCCTTTTTATTAATAATTTTGGAAACAGTATAATAATATATTGTATTTTAAAAATATCTTGACCAAAAATGAATGTACTTAATTTAATTTTATAAATTCTTATGACGTTTACTATCACTTTTTGTAACGTACAGTTTTATTGATTGATGATTCTTTTCACTTCAATTATTACCAAGTTGTAATAATAATAATAATTATGAACTAAACACTTTGAAATATTGTTCCTGCTACTTCTTTTTCTAATTATTAATAATGTTAAATATAAGCAATTTAATTTTGCTTCGGAAGTTTTAAAATATTTTTGTCAGAATAACGTTCCAACATTCGAATAAAACTCGCGAACGCTGATAATTGAAGTCAGAAGATTTCGTATTCATAAAACAAAAACTAGTTCACTGAGTTTTCTATTTTGAATATAAAAATTGGTTTCCCATTGAAATTTTAGAAGAAAATTATAGAATGCAAATAAAGACAATAATTTGAATCTTTTGTTAGGCAACAGAAGTTCAAATATACACTTACATAGATTATTGAATTTGCAATAAGGAGTTCCTTGTGAATTTGTATTAAACTCGTATACAGTTTTTAATTGTTTTAATTTAATGGTAACATTTTTATTTAACAAATTTAAATTGTACTTTTAAACATTAAGTTTTAGTACTCTGAATTTAGATAATGAAGGACCTAATTAAAATCAAAGGTAACCATTCATTTAAAAACGTCATAATGAACGATAATTTAATGGAATAGATGTTACAATGAGCATGTTAGCATGATATTTTTTAAATAAATTTTTATATCATTTTTTCAACTTCTAAAATCATTAGCAACATTTAACATTTAAAAATTTATAGTTTTATGTATAATTTTGTGAAAGTTAGAAAATCAGTAAGTTTTTGTACGTTATTATTTGAATTTAGTACTGTGTCTACATTACTGCGTATCTTTGTAGTTTTCCTCTCTTAGTTGTATTTTTTACATTCCAATAAAATATGTTTGGTAGTCAATGGCAGTGATATATGTACTTTGTTATTAACAGGAGATAAAACAAACTCTTTTTACTCACCGTGACAAGATTTATTATCAGTTCCTAACTGAAAACCAGAATGACATTCACAGCGAAAGTTCCCAGGTTCGTTATGACAAATTTGAGAACAATCAGCTACACCTTCTGCACATTCATCAATATCTACGAAAGAAAAAACGATAATGATATTGTTAAAGTAATCATTAATATTTTAATAGTCCTGTATAGTAAATACCAGTATAAAAAATGAAATAAAATATAAAACACTGTTATTAACACATTGACTGCCACGAAAAACTTTTACATTTCACGTATCAGTTATTCCTTTGTCCGAAAATTTTTATTCGACATCGGTTATATCACAGATTATAATTCTTACCCAGTAATTATGAAGTTCCGGTCACCGGTGCTCACGATGGCAGTGAACGTGTTAATATACATTCTACAATACATGTATATACGTACAAGTCATACATAGATAATATATTCAAATTAATTCCAACAATGGTGGAGGATAAGAAGAAAAAGAAACATTCCATTTAATTCAAAAGTTTTAATGAAAACTTCTATATCAGCGTTTTATGTTTTCCATTGAAATTACTATATTATTATACTTAATACACGTTTGACATTTAAAAATTTTAATTTATTATCAACATCTAACACTGACTTAATATTACCAATATTATTCAGTAGGCCACATAACTATTGATACTATTGGGAAAATTGTAATTTTACATGAAAAACTAACTGTAACTCGAAAACAGAATGAATTATTTGTAAGGGGGGATTTACTTTTGGAATGGTCGTACTTGAAAGTTTTCCTCGCACACATACACTATCATTTACTAAAAATAAAAAGTATCGAAATATGAACAAATATGTTATCTGTTTCTCATTCAGTTTAACGTATACTCGACAAATATTCATATTCGATTATTTCGATTGTTTCAAGATATCATAAATAGAAAAGATTTCATTAATTTTACTTGTAGAATCGCCATCTCTCTTTCATACGTTAGTAGTTACGAGGCACCCTGTGGTATATAGGTATTTATATAGCACTATTATAAACGAAAAATATATTATAAAAACTAACAAATGAAATTTTATTGAATTTTGTGTCAGTACTTCGTCTTACCATCTTCAGACGCTACACGTCATCGTATACAATACGTATGGTATCCGTTACGAAAACACGCGATAATTACGTGGCAACATTTGCATCATCGGTCGTTGGGACTTTTACTCGGTAAGATTTCACGTAACCGCAACTAGGATATAAATTATAGGTTGTAAATTAGTGTCGCGACATGGATTCCAATGCAGAATTGAGAAAGCTTGCTCGCTTGCCGAGGGCGACGGTGGTTGCACTTGAAACACACTGCGATGCCAACATTGTAGTCGTTTTCACAGAGATCCCGATGCTGATTAGCATACAATTGAATAACATCTTATACTCTGTTCCGTCTATGCCTTTACCCGTGCTACGAACATCCAAATCACACGTTGCCAACTGCTAACTTGGCTAATAGAGCCGAAAACACAAGATGATTTCCGAAAGCAACAAACTATCTAACCTTTGCACTTCAAAAGTTTTTCATTAGAAATAATCGACACTTTATGATGAAGCGTGAATGACATTTTTTAAAATTCATTTAACGAGAAATTACACATAAATTAAGGAATAAGGTTATTTTATTTCAATTTTTCACATATTACTGTATTGTACAAAGCTCAATTCTCCGCGGGAAATATGCTCTATAAAAGGTCCTGTCGAAAATTCCATTCCGTAATTTCCCTAAAATGGAGAGAACAAATTATCCAAGTTTTCCACTTAAAAAAAACTTGTACCCATAGAGGCTAGACACTCCAAATACCGTTCACTGTGATCAGTTCAATTACAAGTTTTAAAAGGATAACAATCTCTGTTCAAAAGATTGTCCCTTTTACTATGTGAATTTTGTGAGGTATTCATAATTTATTTTTACACATCATTTACAATTTTATTTTCGAAATTAATGCTTCATTTTTCACTGATATAACCTACTCAACTTTTATTGCAAACTGATATGATTTGGCTAAAGTGTCATTTGTATATTAAATTAGAGACTACAGTAAGTATCCCAACATTTTTTTCAGATCTCTACTGAAATTACAACACTGAAAAATCAAGCCTGACCATAAATGGTCCATATTGCCAACTATATCGATGAAAAACCATATTGCCGGCGTAGGGTTAACATTACATTTCAGTCTTTGTAATTTATCTGTATCAAATCAAATAGCATCCGAGGGGCGGCTCTGAAGTGCAAAGGGTTAAATCAAATCCAAGAAACGTATTCTTTTTCCTTTATAAGAGTAGAAAGAAGTATACGTAGGATTTTTTAGAATGAAAGTTTGGTGGAAGCGGATGCAATAAATCAAAGTGGGTCTAGTTGTGTGCTTGGAAAATCTCGGGTGTGAATGAAGGGTGTTCGAGACAGAATGGACGGTTCTGAGTGCACGAACCGGGTGCATTGCCAAGAGTTTGCGCGGGATTTCGGGTGGCCGAGAGAAAGGGTATTTGTCGAAATTGAAAGAGGACATTCTGTGAGAGCTGGCGAACGAGTGAATACTATAAGATAGTGAGTCAGAATCAACGAGTCTTATTATAATAATTTTTACTCCATGTTTCTTAATAAATTCTTTTCTTGTCCAATCTTGCGAACTAGTTACACTTTACCATTACATCATGTGAGATTTCCCCAAAATCAATCTCTACGTATGCAGGACACATATACAGATACAGATTTAATATTTCACTTTTTATAGCTGTGTAAAATTATTTTATAGCATTCAGTTATTTACGAGACATATAGATCGTAAGGTGACCAGGATCATTTTTCATTTTTATTGGTTTTATAGGACGACTTCCTTTGATAAACGTCATCCACTCAGATGAATAGATAAATACTTTACCATACTATAACAGGTAGGAGATAATGTAGTAGAAAATTATAAGGACTCAATATCATAAATTAGTGAAGAAGAAGTTAACTGAGGGTAAATTTCCTATGGGTAATTAATTTCGGAATTTTATATAAGTTTAGAATGATATCGCATGGATATTAAAAAGAGATTTGATGTCTCAATTTTATATTGAATAAGATGGCATATTTGCATTTTATCTTGTGTGGGTTATATGATGCGTTTGGTATCTTATTCAAGGTACAAGTATAATATTCGTTCTCTTTATGATTTATGTGCTTTGCAATAATTTTTGTAATCATAGGTACCATGATATTGACTACAATAAAATATATGCAAATCCTTCTTGGAAGAACTGGATATAGTGTTTCAAATGTTTAAACTGGTGGCATGATTTATATACAAAAAATAATTTATCAATTTAAACAATTTTATGAGGAATAATTGTACAGAATATCGAAAGACTTATTCATATACCGGCATTGTATTCAATAAATTAATGAAACCATCTAACCATAGTGCGTGAACTATTTTATCCAATAGTCGAATAAGATGACCAATTTGTTCACAAATTAATCTTTTTATTTTCAACCAAAGGTAACAATAAAGTATTCTGTTGTATAAGAAAATAAGTTAGAAAGAAGTTATGCAATACATATTTTCGCTTAAAATTACCATCTTACCGTAACCTTTCTCTACTGTGAACAAACATGTAAAAATACATTTAAAAACTATTTACCTACAAATAAAAAACGAATTATTTTCAGTTTTTCACATTTTCTCAAATTAAAATATATATAAACATGTACACTATGTATGGAAACCGTATGTATGGTTTTTATTAGTATTACTAATCACAGTTATAACGTTATAAACATAAAAGTAATTATTTTTAATAAAAATAGAAGTTACCTATACAGGAATATCCTTTGACGCGAAATCCATCAAAACACGTGCATTTGACACCTGTGTCAGTGTTCTCGCAGATGTGCTGGCACCCTCCTTTCTCTTGACTGCAACGCTTCACATTATTGAGTGTCGATTCTGCAACAAACACGAATGATTCTTTCCATTTGGTGAATTCAGGTAACTTCCTATAAGAAAGAGATTAAAACCGATACATACTCCTACATACTGATTTCAACTCAACCTTCACATTATAACAATCTGCTGAAATCTGTTCCTGACATTTTTATCGCGGTCGATTTTACTTGTCAGAATTTCGATAGTGTTGGAACAATTATAATTCGATAAATGTAAACGTTATTTATTTATTTCTCATACAAGTGAAATACTTTCCTATTATCGACCTTCCACTTTTACAGTAGACGTAGACATAGAATAAGTATCAAATTCTTCTCTTTTTCTACGAAATCATTAACAATAAAGTAGATTCATCAACGGCAGTTGCGAAAGAAATCGTAGGATAAGGAGTTAAGAGTATGAACACGGACGAAGATAGTTACAAAAATCATACAAAAATAAAACAAGTGTCCCGTTCGATGGACTTTAATGTTAAACTAAAATCAAATCTATACTATGTGCTAGTATCCTTAAAGAGGTTAAGGTATGTTGAAACAATCGTAGTAGAAAATTTCACCTAATTTTAGGAAAAGAAAATTTCTTAACACTAAAACTACCGAGTAATTAGAGTGACTTATTTTCAATTTTTTATAAAAACTTAGAATAATAAGTGTCTTGAGAATCGAAGGATCTTCTAGTATCTGTACAAGTACATAGGTTTAATTTAGAATCTCTCTCAGAAATGTCGTCGTAATTGAAATACTTGCAAAATAAACATTCGGAAGTGGGTCAATTTGACCTGTCTAGTAGTTTTAATGCTAAAAAGGTAACAAATTTTCGTCGAGTTAGATTATCTGTAGTTTGATCGGTAACGTGTTTCTGTAGGCATAACGTTTCTATCCGATAAGTACTTACCCCCTTCCTTTATGCAACGCGGAAGAACGCCCAACCAAGTGGCATCGCTGCAGAAGAGCCGATCCGCCATTGAGTCTTCGAAAATGAAATCCTCCGTACACTCGTATATTGCAACCAGATATCGATTGTATGGGGGGAGTACATTTTTCCTCCTACAAAAATAACATATAAAATATACAATCGCTCCTCGAGAAACTAATACGTTCGCACTACCTGTCTAATTTTACCCAACTGCGGATGGAATGTTTGTCAATTTAATAAATGGCATGAAACATCTGGACTGTGCAAACAATTACTCAGAGTTGATAATAGCGTGTAGGTTTAATTTACATCTGGTTTCAGTAAAATTGAAATCGTTAAGATATTATCATTAAAGCTCGATACCTTTGCAGATGTTTCACTTTGATAATTCGAAAATAAAAGAACTTTGAAAATAAAATAGAGATACTGATTCTAATGTGACAAAATATTTGCTTATTTCTGAATATTCAAAATGAATGAGAAATATTGAATTTTCAATAATAGCATCTTACACATTTTTTGTGTCAAATAGTGCATGCAAACGATTTATGTAAAAGAATTTACCGAATTTTTCACTACTTTTTTCTTTGATCTGTCGTTTAATATTAAAACGGTGATACTACCTCCGGCTGGTGTTTGCCGGGAATTACTCCAAACCAGATCAATACCAATACTCCTCTTTGAAAAGAGCTAGTTATTTTTTTCGGTTTTTGTTTTAGGTTAAATGAATTCTCTGCCAGCCAAAGCTAGTCGGTAACGCTATCGCCTTGGTAACCGAACTAATGAAAAGTTGAGATTCCCCTTATCGTGTGCCAGTGTTTACGATTTGAAACGGAAGACACGTAGACACATCGCGACTGTTACGTACATATCGTCATGCCTGTGGATAAAGCTAACTCGTGTTGAAGTGAAAAATTTCGAAAAACTTTTATGTCTCGTGAAATAAGACGCAGGTATGACAAGTTGTTTAAAATTGTATTCGCGACAATACATTAAAAAATGATTGAAATTGGTAAAATATTATCTCTGTAATATATTTAACAGATACTTTTATAACTATCTCCGAAAGTAAAACAGAACGATAATTATAATATATAGGAAAAAATTTCTTAAAACAGTATATCCGAAAACATAGCCGAAATTCACAAGAATCTGAGAGGTCGTCCACTTTGTATGTAATTATCTGATTTTCGTTTAAACTTGATTTTGTTTGATACTGTGAAATTATTTGTTTTCGAAATTATTCATTACGAAGATATTGGTTTTAAGATAGTAAAACTGATGAGAAGTAGATAATGGTATACGACCGTCTCTGATCATAGTAAGTAGAAATAGCAAGTAGTGAATAGTTATATTGGTCAGCCGTATCCCAAAATTCATACTTCATTAAGGATTACGAAACAGGGAAAGTTCTAAACTACACCATAATTGTTTTCGGAATAATGGAGTTATGAAAGTTATAACAATTATAAAAATATACAATACTACTTTATATTATAAAATTTCATACAATATAATGTGTATATTAGATTAAATAGTACAACACGAATTTGATTCATAGGAAACAGAATTTTTTAAATTACTAATCTGATTAGATTTTCTGTGTTTTTGAATCTCTGCCTTACCAATTGATAGTTAATAACAATTCTGCTATACTGAGCAATCCATACGTCAATAATTTTGTACTGACTATATATTACTGTTAAATACATTACACTATGAAAACTAACAATAAGCGGTTTATTTCTATTTGTGTACATATAAAGAGTCACTATTCAATAGTTAATAGAAGTGCGAATATATAAGTATTCAATGTTCATTTCTTTAAAACTTTCTGCATAAGTAAAATCAATGATCAGATATATTTTGTACAAACTATTTGAAGTGATATAAAAATTCTAAGAAATTTTACTGCGTTACACAAAGTCAGTTATAATAATGTTACAGAAACTTCCACAACAGAACAATCACAATTATATTTGGCACAAATGTTCTTTATAACATAAATTTACAAATTTCCACTGAAACACTAAGATAAAGCATAACTAATTTTTCTGTATTATTCATATAAATGTATATAACTTTAACTTTTATTGCAACACATGATTATATAATATTTTGAATGAATTTAAATAAATTTTTCCTGAAAATCTAATCTTAAAACTATCTTTTAGTATATATATTTAAATGCTCCTTGTTGTGAGTTTATAACTTGTAACTAAAACAAAATTTAATGTGAATCAAATGTGAATTAAATGGAGAAATATGTTTCAAGTAATAACTTTTTATTGCAGATACTTTGCGCTTTCAGATTGAAAGACATGGAATACAAACCTAGCATATTTGGCAGGATATGCGTGCTCGATCTGAGGGGCTTTCGCAAATCCCTTCTTGCGAGCTTTCATGAAGCAGCTCAAATCCAACCGCGACATTATTGTTTCATTTAAGGCGACGAAAGCTGATGCTGCTGGGGGCGACTCGGACAAAGATTTCTCAGCAATTTGTTTTCGCCGTTTTTCCTTTGCTTTTCTGCGTTTCTTCAATTCGCCGATTCTTTTACGAGCCTTCAGCCGATCCTTCGCCACCTTTTCCGGCGACGGTGATGTCGAGATTGGGTCATCGCCTTGATAAAGGTCCTTCCGAGAGTATTGAAATCTATTGTCTAAAGGTAACAAACGGATAAAAATAAACTAAATTAATATCTGTTTTCAAAAGTTCATTTACTACAGTGATTAACTTCCCAAAATAAAAAGTATGTATAATTGATCAAATTATATAAAACTCTATATAGAATTCTGTAAAATCATATAAAATTGTATAAAATTATATAAAACTGTATAAAACTAAATAAAAGTATATAAAACTAAATAAAAGTATATAAAACCATATAAAAGTATATAAAACTATATAAAACTATATATTTATTTGTTTTATCCCCTTCTTAAATATAATATTCAAGCAAATATTTCAAATAATTAAAAAAATAAAATATTTCATTCCACACGTAGATTTTACGTTACAACACATTAACGATGAAACGTTCACTAGGAGAACTAGGTAATTTAATAAGCTGATATATGAAAACAGAAAAGAAATTACACTGTATATAAAATATTATATTATATATGAAATATTATCAGATTCGATCTAGAAAACACTTTGAATTATTGCAGAATCTATTATCATATACTGTTTAAGGAAGAATGTTAACCAAAAATCAATACAATGTTCCTGTCATCATAATTGTTAATACCGATATATTGATATTACAATAAGTGAATTTAATTAAGAATTAAAAGTTATTTCAAATTATTTCAAATTAATAAATCCGCATGCCACTAAAATGGTGCTCCGCATCTTCATTGAAATCATATTATATCTGCTATACACATTCAAATTACATTATCGCAACAATGTGTTTCAGAGTATGTAACCAATCACATTAATTCAATTTATACAGTGACCCCAGGATGCGATATTCTGCGCGTAGAAGAATCGTGCGTTCGATGACTGTCATTAGCAGGATACTCATGGTTTAGTATCACACATACTAACCGTGTCAGCAATTCTGAAATATTGTTGAACAAGAAAATTTTTAATTGATTTTCAAAGATATATAAATATTATGGCACTAAGCTTCTACTAATAACTTCTATAATTCTAATAAACATGATAATTTTAATTTTAATAACTTTCTTAATTAATAACTAATAACCTTTTCTCAGAGAATTCTTAAAGAAGCATAAAAAAGACCAGACCAGAATATCCCCTTAATGAAAGTAAAAGAACATATAAATTGAAACACAACATTTATTCATTGCACATAAGTAAAACTTATAAAATTTCATTAAATAAATACTGTATAATAGTTACACTGTTTACAATTATCTATGGATTACGCTTGTTAGTTGTATGATGAAACGGCGGGATACCTTAATTCTAATCGAAAGTAGGTAATATGCGTCAAAATATACCCAACTCCGTCATATGATAGAGTATGTTAATGATAAGCTACGCCTGTATATTGATCTTGATGAGATTCGCTATTAGCAACGAGCATGATCGCTTAAATTCAACCTGCATAGGGATTCCTAGATTCTAGATGCACGACGCGTGGGTATGCACATATTACCGTATTAATATTGTTTATCGCAAGGACCAAGATTGCTACTGAATCACGACAATACGTCGACGAAGTCGTGAGCCTCTTCGAACATGCACACCCCGTATACGTTCCCGACGTAGCAAGTAACTTTAACACCGGGATATTCGAGATTTGGCTAAGACGAGAACTTTGTTGCGAGTGAACGTATATGTTCATTCGAGCACTGAAACCTGCAGGTTACTACTGTTTCCTTAAGAAAGATCATGTAAGTAATAATAACACGAGACCATGACATTTGTCTTACAACTGCTTTGTTCAAAATTGAGTAGATCCTAGAAGAAAGAAAGTTTCTAATGAAACGAAGTATGTTGTTAAATGTACTTTTTTTAATAGTTACAACTGGATGATTATTTAATAAATTATACCAGGAGAAATAAATATTTAGAAACAGATAAATTTCATTTCAACCAGTTCAGAGAAACATAAAGATGATATAACAAGAAAATGTTATTGATTATAAAAACAAATAATGACTGTTCTGAAGTTTATACTGTTTACAAAAATTCGTTGTTATTTAATTCAGATTAAATATTGTCTTAACACATCGCGTATCGGAAACGAGAAATGTCGTTTTTATATAAATATGTGGGTCACTGCAGAAGTTTCAGGAATTCGACATTTCTAGCGCTGCCATTCAGTTGCTTAGGATTATTTTTGTAAAGCTTTCCATTTTTAAAGTCAGAACCCGTTAAAAAATACCATGAAAAATGTGTTAATGTCGAAGGGGAATATTTTAGAAAATAATAAAACCATTAGTTCTAACCTATTTATGACTATCGCATGCTTTCCCGAAACTTTTGCAGAAACTCAGGTACTTACCGACGTAACTCTACTAATTACCATATCATTTAAAAAATATGAAATTTGATCGGAACTGATTGTTTCATCTTTTTTTTTTAATATATCAATATAAGTTGACCTCATTAAAACTTGCCGCCTACACAGCTCAGTTTTCTGAAAATTAGCCGGTAATCAATGTCTTAATTGCGCAGCGAAATTTTTCAAAATAAAATAAATATACAAGATGATTCTTTTAAACGGCGACATCTAAATATTAAAAATATTTTCGAATTGTGATGAGACAAAGAATATTTGTTGCCTAACATGAATACTATCGAAGAGCCAATAACTTGTGAAAATGTTTCTTTTAACGTGATTTATTTGTATTTTCAAGGTCATTGATGTCTTCTTTACAAATATGCTTTGTAAAATATATTTCAAAGTACAAATTTTCAAACCGATGGACTGGTTGTAATGGAGTTATTGCATGGCCTCTATGTTCGCTGGACTTCACTCCAATAAATTTTTTTTCTGCCAAAAATTGAAACAAACAATTTGTAACGAACGCCCAACTGCACAAGAGTCTATGAAAAATCCAATAGTTAGAGCTTGTACTGCTATTGCTTCTGAAGCAATCGAAAGGTTATTGGAATCGCTTATCGATCGTTTCACGCAATTCATCATAGTAGAACAGCATTTTGAATATCTACTATAACGGTAATAACTTTAAAAAAGTAGGTACTGCCTTAAGCATTTTGTGATAAAATCTTTTGAAATGTTTGGGATAAAAATGATTTCTTCATATCCCCAAATTTATCAGACACCTCAGCAGAGGCCTACGATCTCGATAGAGATAAATATATACGTAAAATTAAAATTTTTGGATGTCAATGTCATTTCAAGCCATGCCACGTTCTTCGTATGTCTGAATGTATTTTTTATTAAGGTACACGATGCAGTAAAAATATACGTAGTTGTATAAAAAAATATCAGTGACCTTAAAAACTCCTAATAAAATATCCTTAAAAAGATATTTTTATCAGTTATTAGACTTTCTAATTAAGGTATGAATGTATATTTCATTTCTGTTCGTTCATTCGAAAAAGGAACAATTTTTTTTACATGCAATTTAATAAAAATTGCATAAATTTTAGATGAGGAAGACATTGCACTTGAATAAAACACATGACGGTTTTAAGTAAATCGAATGTTACATAGTCGTCGCACAGAAGGCGAATTTTTTACTTTGTACCCTCATTTTATTCTGATTCCCTTTCATATTTTCATTTTGTGCGAAGAGTCACATTTTCTGTGATTAAAATAATATAACATAATTCATTGTCTCCACACAATAAAATATTATATATTATTATAAATATTAATATAATATAAAATTATTTATAACATTATAATATATAGTTATAACTAACATAATATAATTCACTATTATAGCAGAAATTTTCGTTCGGATCAAATCCGATCAAGAGTACCGCACATTTTGATCGCCGGCAAACCGAATCTACTATCAATTTTCGATTTAACTTGACCGTACCGCCAACTGTGAGTGCTTACCCTTAATTACATGTTATTACATTGGCAACGATCATAACCAGCTATGATTTGATTTGATCTGATCGTACTATTGATTGGCAATGTGAATCAGGCTTAATTATGTCTCTCACGATACTTTCCAGTGTCCTAGATTATTATTGAATACCCTCTTAAAGCTATTTTTATCGAAGGTATCAACAAATTTTTAACTGAAAATAATATATTAACAAATGTTAATAGATTAATCGTTTTAACTTAAGGACAGTATAATAATCGTTATGGAGCATCTTGAATTTGTAGTTTCTGCTTTGAAAAAAACAAAGGTTTCGACTGTATCGAAGCACTCATGAGTGTTTGTTCAGTGTTAACGTATTAAATACACAAACTAAACACATATACCAAATTGGTATATTAAGCACACATCAGATACACATTGCAGATACACATTAATCGACAATTCTGATCATACAACCCCTGTTCGTGTACCCTGCATTACCTAATCTTCAATTTCACCGTGGACTTACAAAATAAACGTTTAAGAGTCTAAAGAGACGCCTGAACGTGCAAAATATTCGAAACGAAAAAGCATGTTTACTTTCCCAACTGTTACACGATGCACAAACAGTTTTTTCATAGAAAAGAATCACGAAAAATTACAACAGTCTAGATTTAGCTTTGTAACTTTTCACGCGAGCGTAATTTCAGATCAATAAAATTATAATCTGAATGAAAAATTCCTTTACTTTGGTTTCAAAAATTAATATGTGTATAAAATACTGATGAAGCATCAATTCTGTATGAAGACACAATGTTTTATAATTGTATTCTCTGTAAAAAATCAAGATTTTACAATTAAGTGTAATGGAAAAATTCTCATTTGCTTGGTCCATCTGTCTTCTAAAATATTTCATACATTTTTAAGCAAAAATTGTATACCTGAGTCAGCACGAATTATACATAGAAATAGTGGATTCTACTTATAAAAGGTTCTGTATAATGAAATTACATGTAACGAGTTTGTACACGTAATGAAACAGGAAGTGTTTACGCTAATATGTATTCTGAAATGTGTGTTCTTCGGTATTAATCAAAACACAAACATTACCTTAGTGCAACGGTAAATAAACAATCCGGAGGTAATGATTAAAATCACAAATAGATTGTTT